TAGAGGGCGACTTTACGACATTGGAGATAGTTACTTCGGTGAGACCGGTGAAGAGTGCAAGACAGAGAATGCTACAACCAAACAATATTACATAGATGCGAGTCGACAAAATTCCAATATGTTCAATATTTGGAATTCGACTTGTTAAGGTCTTAGCCTTAAATAGATTCATTTTGGACAAGTATATTTTCATCTTCCTTCCATAGTATTTGGCTTGATTTTGAAAGCCTAAATAACAACAAAACAGAAATAATAAAAAAATAGTTGTTATTATTAAGATCGACGACAAAAATAAATCTTAAAATCTATAAATGTACACTCTAAGTTAAAATGTGTCGACTTTTTCCGTAGTGAATTATAGTGTCGTGGGTTTCAGCAAGAAAACATGTTGTATTTTAATGTGTCGTATTTTTAACAGTTCTGTACATATATGATGACTGTTCATTCATCATTTTGTTCCGCGCTTATATCTATATATAATCGATTCGACCCATCACATGAGAATCATACGTTTTGTGCACCATTCTATATTATATATTTCTCGTTAATATTTCGAGAAACAATGACCTCACGTTAAGAGAGGTCTACCTAAAGCTAGTCGGATCAAGATCTGACTGTTTTACAGTGCTGCATCAAACACTGGTGTTAATCGTACCAATTAAATATTGATGGATATAATACACCAAAGAAAAAAAAATTATCAAATACGGCGAAGCCTAGACTCGAACCATGTTTTCAGAATGTGTCGGATGTGTCGTGGAATAATGCGTCGTATGCTGGCTGGTGAAAATGTGTCGCAACGAGCGCCTCGTGTCGTACTCGAATGTGTCGGAGAATGTGTTGTAAATCACGATACATGCGACACATTTTAACTTAGAGTGTACACAGGAATATTAAGTTGATGGACTTTTATATTCAAAAATGAAAAGTATCAAAACATTCAAATTACTTCGATTATTTCTGTAATTTTTACATAATTTATGTTCAAATGCATCGTAACTTCTGATCATTTTCAGATTCTTTCTATTGATAGTTCTCTATTTTAAGAATAAACTTTAAATAAAACAATCAAATTAACCGCCATTATATAGATTTTATTAGTGCCCAAGTGGAGGGAAAAAATGTACAATCCATAGGAGCGAGAACGTCAAAAAAAAAAGTTTTTTTTTTTGTAAAAAGTTCAGACAAGATTTTCACAAGTGGCCACTAATAGAACAAGTAATATTTCACTTGTTTACTCTATAGTCAGATTGTTGTATCTTGATAATTCTATGTATTGGAAAAAGTTTTATGCAAGTAAGGCTAACTAGTTTCTTTATGTGACAGAAGTTTCAGACCTGAATTCGAAATCTATACATAAAATTCAATAAAAACTTGACATCTGACCAGGAACATGAGCTCTTTTAATGGTAGCCATAGTTTATTAAGACTTACGAAATGTGCGAAGCTCCAACCAACAAGTTATTGGACACCTGGGTATGTTCTTTTATGAGCTCACAATTCATGATGTAAACATTCGATCATACGCGAGTTTAGAATTAAGAGCAAAGCATGTCAATACAGTTGTAGTTCAACTTTGTATCAGTAGTATTGGCCTACGGTTCTATGACTGTATTACAAATGCCATGAACCATTAACATGATTTACAGTCAATTGTGATCAGATAAAAAGGCTCACGAAACTTTCTCAGGTTCTTTATTAGTTGACTAACATTCAATCTCTATTGAAATGTTAGCATATCTTTCCGATATTACTCTTCACGTTGCATACCTATGTTTGATGAAATAATGTTGTTTCTTAGCCATATTCTATTTCTTTCTGGCAGTAATATACGTTTACTAATCCGAAAAGTACTCTAAATTATACTTCTCAAATAATATATCAATATTATCAATTATCGATTGATGCTTTGTGTGCTTTTCATTATTTTCTGTAAGCAGTTTTTTCAACTTAGTTGATTCACATGAAGTTGAATTATATTTTCTTCTGCTACTGGTTTTGTACCTACCGTATCTGGTGTGTTTATTGACTGTAATATCATGAATAGTATCTTCGTCTGCGAAATTCTTATAAAATGCTTCGCAATATCAACCACATAGCTTTTCTCAATATTATTCTGTAATTATTTTTTTATTTTTCCATATAGTGAATATTTCCAATTTATATTAAATGCTCGACAACAGCATAGATCGTCAAATTCAGTCGCAATGTGAACATCTCGTTATAATGAAACATGCAAGGCATTATTTTCTGACTTCTATTAACTAGAAAAAAGTATCCTAAAATTATATTTTCCCCACTCCTGTTTTAATGTAGTATTATACACATATACAAGATAAGTATTCCCCAAAAATGAGTACTCTTATAGATAATATTGTATGTTCACATGAAAAATTTTTTGCTAATGCTATCTGAATTGAATCCATCAACTTATTTCACTTCCTGTAAAAATTAATACTTTATCGTATGTTATTGTTCTTCTGCTATTAATGTAAAAAGATCATAGGCGGCGGAGCCTGTAGGCCCAGTGAGGCTTAAGCCTCACCTGCTTTTGGCTTCTGTAGGCTAAGCCTCACCAAAATTTTGAATTTGAAGTTTAATCGTTTCTATATAACTTCAAATTTTGTATAAATAAAATCTTATTTTACTATGAAAATTAATATCTACTATGGTTTATATGTTTATTCGGATGAAAAAGAATGCAAAAAACTTGAATAATATAATTAACTTAGACTTGGTGATTCGATTGCATCGTAATGATCCACAGCGACACGTTTCGTTTAAACGGAATGACGTGTGAAATAAACGAATCGTAGAAAATTGTGCGATATCATGCACACAAAACCAAGAGAAATTTCAGAGATCATCCTCTTTCTTTTTTAATGTAATCGTATTATTCGTCTCGTTTTGTGAAATATAGCGTTGAAATCTTTCTGAAACTTGAACAACAAAGTCTCAAAGAGTTTTCTTGTCTAACTTATTTAAATAACAACTTACTAGATTTTCTTGATCAATTGTGTTTCATAAGCTTATCAGTTTTGTAAAAAATCTATTGAGTATACCGTTCTTACGGATAAAAATTAGATACTATATTTGTGTTCATAAATATTAATAGAATCGGAACTGTTTTTGATACTCTGATAGTGTTGAAATTTTAGATTAGAAGAAAATGTCATCAAAACGAACTCCATCAATTCTTGAATATTTTACAAAAAAAGTGAAAGACCAGGACTTATCCCTTTCGGCTGAAGATTCTATAAAACAAATGACTGTAAGTATTTTTAATAATTTTTCAAGAACTTTTCGAGATGAAAACAGAAAAATGTTTTCTCTCAGTTTTCAATTCATATTGTCCCATCAAGTTTGTCTAATATTAATAATTTTCAGGAAAACTATGATCCATCTTCAAATCAATTTAGACTTGATAAGTCTGAGAAACCATCAACCACAGACAATTCAATACCACCATTAACATCTACAACAAATAACTCAGTATTATTATCACCAACAAGAAAAAATTATACAATATCATTATCAACAATATCAACTACAATTAATTCAACATCATCATCAGAACCAACAACAAACATTTTTACAACATCATCACGAGCAGCAACAAATAATTTAATATTGTTTTCACCAACAAAAAGAAAAAATAACTCATCATCATCATCACCAGAACCACCAACAAACATTTCAACATCATCACGAGCAACAACAAATAATTTAATATTGTTTTCACCAACAAAAAGAAAAAATAACTCATCATCATCATCACCAGAACCAACAACAAACATTTCAACAACATCATCACGAGCAGCAACAAATAATTTAATATTGTTATCACCAACAAAAAAAAAATAACTCATCATCATCATCACCAGAACCAACAACAAACATTTCAACATTATCATCACAAGCAACAAAAAATGATTTAGTATTATTATCACCAACAACAAGGAAAAATAATTTATCAGCATTGTCAACAATATCAGCTAAAGACAATGCAGTCTCTGTATCGCCGATAGCAAATTCCTTAAGTCAAACAATAATAGACATATCTAAATGTGATTTAAATTGTTGTGGTTCTTTTAAAGCATATCATCCACTTAAAGAGGATGAGTTAGTTTTGACAACCATTAATAAACGATCCTGTCAGAAAAAATGGTTTACAGATTATACTTGGTTAACATTTTGTAAAGTGAGTCTTGTTCATAATATGCATAATCTGAATTAAAACTTAAATCTAAAAGGAATAATTTTTCTTTCTTGCAGACGAAAAGAAAAGTTTTTTGTCATCCACGTCGCGAAGCCTTTAAACGTGAAATTCACCCTACTAAAGCAAAACTAGTTCCTCCGCATGTTACTTTCATAGTTAATGGTTATTGTGATTGGAAAAATGCCATATCAAGATTTAAGCTTCATGAAAAAACTAAACTTCACCTGGATTCAATTTATGTTATCAATCAGCAAATGAAACCTAATATAGCAATTCAATTAGCATCAGCAACTAAAAAACAACAAGAACAACGTCGACAATGTCTTTCAATTCAAATTTCGTGTATCATATATCTACTTCGGCAAGGTCTTGCTCTTAGAGGAAATAAAGACGAAAACAGTAATCTGATTCAATTATTAAAACTTCGAAGCGCTGATCATGAATATTTAAACGAATGGATGCAAAATAAGAAATACTTGTCACATGACGTTGTTAATGAAATTTGCAAAGAAATTTATTTAATAATTATTCGAGATATTGTAAAAGAAGTACGTATGACTGAGATGGGTGTGAAAAATCTAAAAGTTATAATATAGCCTGAATATAAATATGTATTCATCCACTTCTTCAACTAGGTCACAGATTGCATTTTGAAGATTTAAATAGAATATTAGTTACTCTGAAGATTTTTTATACGAATTTGCATAGTTGTCCTTTTATTAAAACGAACTAATACTATAATATAACTTGCTAACAAAAAAACAAAGCGCATCAACAAGTCTGATGCAAAATCTTGACATTTTACTTTATATATTCTACGGTCACAGAAAAATTGACTCAAACGTTTGTAGCTTTCTCCTCTATATTTTTAAATACAGTAAGCTTTTATTTTCAATTGGTTGTATTAATTGAAAATGATTCGACTTTTTTCACCTAGATTTCGAGCAGAAAATGGTTTTCTTTGATATGTGATGAGACATGTGATGAATCAACAACAGAACAATTATGCATCACCATTAGATCCGTTGATTCTAATTACAAAATTTTTGAAGATGTTGTAGGGCTATATGAAATATCGGCACAAAATGCTCTAACTATTGTTGAAGCAATTTATGATGTTATAAGTCGATGTGGCTTAGACATGATTAATTGTCGCGGTCAAAGTTACGATGGGGCATCGAACATGTCTGGGATATACGGTGGTGTATCATCAATAATCTTGAAGCAATATTCAAAAGCTATTTATATCCACTGTGTTGCACATTGTTTAGATTTAGCTGTACATGATTTAACAGATCAATGTGCTTCTGTTGGTAACTGCATACATTGTGTAAAAGATATTATTGATTTTATACGTCGATCACCTAAACGTCTTGTTATTTTGAAAAATATATTTAATCAAATATCGTTGTCTTATACAACTCTTACAGCATTATGTCCGACTAGATGGACTATGCGCGCTGAATCATATAGTTCGTTATTAAAAAACTATGAACAAGGTAAATCAATAATTGCTTATATTTTAAAAATGCGGTGTCATTTTTGTACCGCTTGCCACATAATATATGGTGAAACAGAATCATGAAAACACTTGATTTTGAAGACAGCTTCAAAAATGTTAGCAAAATGATCTTAAAACGATCAATATTTTCTGCCCCTCGTCTCGTTTCTTTTGACACATAAATTTCGCAATGGAAACATTCGGTCAAGTATGAATAGTATCCATAGTGATGCGATAATATCTTTATCAGAACGAGGAGTATTATTTTTCGTTAGCTAACTTTTAAAAAATTTATACATCTATAGAAAATGCATTATCAAAATAGGTTTTTAAAATTAAAGTTCTCATTCCTATACTTAAATAACACAAAATTTTGGTGACTTCAGAAATGATATTTCAGATACACCAGCACTCATGTTAGAGCTTAGCTACTATTTAAATAAATTTAAAATACATTTGAAAATCTAAAATTAAAATTGAATTTTAGTTCAAGAAGCCTTGTACAAAATAAGTAAAGAAAAAGGTGGTCCTGGTATAAAAGCAAATGGCTTATATGAACAGATGAACAAATTCGTGTTTTTTTTTGGTTTAAAACTAGGTCTTTTAATATTTACAGATACTGTAAAGCTATCGCGAGCATTTCAGGGCTCTGATTGTTGTTTACAAGATGTTTTTTGTGCTGCTGAAGCAATTATTCATCGTTTTCGACGTATTCAAGGTAAAAATAACACTCTGTGAACGATCAAATGCATCTGTTGAAACTATCATTTGTTATTTTTCAGATGATATTAATTTTGAACTGTTTTATAATCAAGTAGTTAAAAATAGTGAAGGTTTAACAGAAAAACCTACTCTACCTCGACTTCGACGACTACCACGACGATATGAATCAAATACAACTCTCGTAAATTATGCTAGTTGTGAAGATTTTTATCAAAAACAATATGTTGAAACTTTAGAAATTATTATTAACATGCTTCAAACTCGATTCACACAAAAGAATTTTAAAATGTTATGTGAAGTTGAAAAGTTTATTCTTAATGTATCTAATAATCCACCTGATAGTTTCAATGACTATATTAAAACAATTATAGATTTTTGTCATGGTGATATTGATCTTGACAGACTAAAATCTGAAGCACTTATGATTTCAGACTTTTTTAAAGTTGTTATTAACAAAAATCAAATGAAAATAAAACTGATTACCAAAATTTCGACAGTTTGTGAAATTTTAAATACCTGCGAAATTGGGAAACAAATGTTTCAAGAATTTGATAAATTAATTCGACTTTATTTAACTGTTCCAGTAACTACAGCAACTGCCGAAAGAACGTTTAGTGCATTAAATCGAGTGAAAAATACACTTCGAAGTTCTATGACTCAATCACGTCTTAATCATTGTTTATTGGCACATATTTATAAAGAAAAACTTGATAAAATAGACCCATATCAAATTCTGTCAACATTTATATCATCTAATGAACAGAGACGGACATTTTTTGG